GAATGCTTCTATCTGCGAGGTTCGGTTCTACCAGAACATCAACACCTGCTCGAGCGCGTGTCGTGAGTTAACTATTCTAATCATAATAGGACGTTTAAATGAATATGATAGTTTTAATAGTTTTGTGGCAGTATTTAATAACGCAAACATTTTATCTACTCTGAATCTGCATTTTGTGGTTCTTTTGTTGTAGTTTTGAGCTGCTAGTAACGGGGCTATCGGTCTATATATCATAAGAACCATGACCTCTACTCGGTTTGTTTCTGTGTGGTTTTCATTTGCGCGTACTTCACATACTGCAGTTCCACCATCGTTCATATGATCAACAGAGAGAACAAATTGTATAACAGCCCTGGAAACACACAATAATACAATCGTTTTAGGCATCTAATTAATATCTATTATTCTTTACCCAGATATAATAACTAAGAGGATTCCTAATAATAATGACATTCGCTAGCCAGATATTCCAGATGTAGGCTAAACACAAGAACCTCAGAAAGCCTTGCAATAGTCGCGATGCTTCGTCAATTCAGCAGACTCCGTTAACTGCATACTAACATTACGGTCAGCAGTCAAGCATAATGAACTGCAATGTCAGATGATCACGGTCACATTCAGAAGAGTTTTGCGAATCTCTGTTGTTTTGTCAGCAACACATCACAGCCACCGACATATCTTAACCTTCACAAGGAGTTGCTCATCAGCCGCGTATTTTACATCGCCATGCTCTAAAGTTCGTTCAGTCTCGTCGCACGATCAGCCCTTCGTAGATAGCTTATTTCTTCGGCGTTCGTTCGCAATCGCACTCTTTCCGTCAACATGTAGCAGGGATAACAAAAAATGAGAGCCTCTGCTCACAAACACATATTGCATAGCTTGTTCATTATCACTCACAGTCTTAGAGCCTACTGCGCTGGCTTGAGAGATTCATTTATCAATAGAGAATGCAAAGCATAAGGAAAAAATGTATAAACGTAGTTAATATGCAACAAAAAGCATAATACAAAGTGATCGAGTAGTTTACCTTGACGAACGTGTTCACGGCCATGATCGCTAAATCGGGTTGAGTTTTGGCATAGTTCATCAAGTATAAGTAGACCAACTTCTTCAACTCCAAATTGTCAGTCTGCATACAGTTGACTACATCAGGAAAGAGAGCGCTGAACATATTACAGAAGTAAAACCAGCTGATTTAATTCATATATGGCAAATATCGAGTACCTGACGTCCTTTCCAACAGTCATACTAGCGATCACCTTTTTCACAGCTTCCCGTTTTTTCTCCTTCTTGTCGCTACTCAGTTCGCTTTTAAGCTCAAAAATTTCACCTAAAATACGCAGCAGTATTAGCAAACTGCTTGAATCATTTCGATCCAACGTACCTTTTTTAGTGGTAGTGAAGTACTTGGAGTCACTCATCTTCAGCGCTGCAGGAAAAAACAAAGCCATTAAAAAATGGTATGATCAAATCATCGGTGAGGTTAAATTTCACTAATAATTTTGGAACTAACGTTATATTCGAACATCATAACATAAAAAACAAGGATTTCAAATTACACCGCATCCCATTCACTCTTACTTGTCCAAGAA